TACAGGAAGATGTAAAATTTCACGGGCTTCCCGAATATGTCGTTACTTTTTAAAAAATATGTTCTTTTGGTAACAATATCCTCAAAATACAGAGGAAAACTTATTTTTGCCAGGGGTATATATAAAACAAAAAAAGAAACTATCGTCTTGCTATATAACCACATGAATGACTCATAGGATGACCAAATGGAAAAGATTGATTTTCATTCTTTTTCATGCCTCCATCGGCGCAGACTCTCCAAGGAATTTTCAGTTTATATGAAATCAAAAAGAAATTTCTACTTTTTCGGGAACTATTCATAGAAATTCAACGTCGATTTTCTATAAACTGCAAATTGCTTGGAGAATTTCCAGCAGTTTGAAAATTATTTATGGAAATTCGAGGAGAAATTTCCAGTTTATAGAAAACTGAAGTCGAACTTCTATAAATAAATCCCAAGAAACTCCCCTTGAATTTCCAGACTCTTGGAAATTATTGATAGACATTCAAACGACGATTTTCTTCCGATATTCCATAAGCTGAAAAATCCTTGCGGATTTATTATAGGTACTATTTGACATTCGTCGAGTATTTTACATGAATAATTTCCAACCTTACAGTGTAGTGAATTGGGCACAATAGGGAACACCTTGTAAAACGGCTTCGAAACCACTACCCCCTCCCCCATAATAGAAGGCGAGTGTGGAGGGAAAAGTTTTGAAAAAACAGGGCAGATTTTCACCAAAAAAAGTGCGATGTGCGGCCATGGCCTTCTATTATGGCGGGGTGGGAGGGAGAGATTTACTATTCTAGTTGATTTATCACCATCATTAAATGAATCTAAACTGAAGGTAAGTTCGGATTCGAAAGTATGCAAAAATATTTTCAAATATGGGCGTTTTATTTCGACTAAAGAGCGAACAAAATGCGTGTTTTTTCAATCTATTTCAAACTTCTTCCGCTTGTGAAGTACAGTATAATCTGATTACTTTTTTTCTTGTTTTTATGTGCGAAGTAAATAATACATGTTCTTGTATAACGATCTCGGTAAAACGTTGTGCAAATGAGTGACAATTTTATTAGATACTATCTGTGTTCTTACTCATGTCCTTCAGAATATGTTGTTAGAAAATTTTGTTCCGTTTTCTTTTTCATTATTTGCTCACTGTGACATACGATAATAAGTGTAGAAGAAAGAAAATCTAAAATTTTTTTCTATCTAGACTATATAAACCGTACTCATTTCTTTCTTTACTACCACCGACTCAAGGCTCACACATATTTTTAATCTTCAAATGGCCAAGAACGATATCACATTTTATTATTTTGATTTGAGAGCACGTGGTGAAATATCCCGTTTGATATTGGCATGTGGTGGTAAAAACTACAAAGATATTCGATTTAATTTTGAGCAATGGCCTGAATATAAACCAAAAATGATCCTTGGCCAATGTCCCGTATTAGAATTAGAAAATGGTCTTCAACTACCTCAATCGCTAGCTGTTGCACGTTATTTAGCCCGAGAAAATAATCTAGCTGGCAAGAATAATTTAGAATCAGCACAAATTGACGCTGTTATCGATACTCAACTTGATACCTATAACAAATTTTTACCTCAATTCTTTGAAGAAGATGAGACGAAGAAGAAAGAAGAAATGGAAAAGTTACTGTCAGTAAATATGCCAATTCTTGTTGAAAATTTGCAAAAATTACGTCAGGCGTATAGTGGAAAAAATTCCAAATATTTTGTCGGTGATAGTTTGACATGGGCCGATCTGTTTGTTTTTGATTCGATTCAACAGTTGCTACATGGTCTACCCGGTGCCAAAGAAAAATATGCAGATCAATTCAAAGAATATTTGGATCCAGTTACAAGTGATGCTCGATTGAAAGAATATTTAAAATCCCGACCAGATTTTAAAGTAATTTGAGAAGGTTTTTAAATTTTTTTCTGTTATCTTAATTATGGAATAATAATAAACCATAATGAAATAATAATAGACGATTTTAAGAAAGTAAACAAAATAAGGGGTGTGGCAGGATAAATGATCCTATCAATATGTTTCAAATAACTCTTTTATTTTGTGATCGTGTAGGCTTGAAGTTTCTTTGAAAAAATTCCCCGGTTCATTCCCTACAAGAATCATGTTGAACATTTTTTATATATCGTAAAGATAAAAGAAAATTGACGAAATACTGCACAATTTCAATCTCCATTACTTTCAAACACAAAACATAACAAAAAAAATACTTATTTTGAGCATGGCGCCATGCGTAAAAGTGGAATCAAAATGTATCTTCGGGTGCATATTCGATTATTTCGACTCTTCCGACCGCTTTCAGTCGAATATACCCGACAAAATCTACTCGAAAACGAGCAATGATTTAGCACCAACAGTATGACTGTAAAATCAATATTTCTTAGTAACTACACTATATTAAGCCTAGCGCTATATATCATTCGACGCGCCATGAAAAGCTCTACAATATGTGTTAATAAGAAGCGTAACGAAGTGAGGCAGCATGTTTTAATAATAATTTTAAATAAATTTAAAAATATTAAATTAATAGTAAAAATTTAATACTACCCTAGTGAAACTTCTTGAACCCAAGATCTTGGCGAAGATCTGTTCTGCGTTAATAACTTTTGCGAAAGATATGTAATACACGTGTTTTATACGTGTTTTCTACATTGTTAAAGTTTCGTTTATTCTGATCTCTAACTTGTTTTAACAGCTGATTTGACGTTGGAATAAGTTGAAATTTATTTTTTTTTGAAATTTTTGAAATTTTGTGGAATTTTGAAAATTTGTTGAAATTTTTCATTCATCGCATTCGAACGTATACGTCCGGCGAGCTCGACAGCAGCCATGCCTGTCAGGCACGAACGTCAGCAACGAAAAATGTTGCTAAATCGAAAACGGCGCGAACGCCAAAAGCGAATAGTAACGGCGGCAAAAATGATGGTGATAGAGCAAAATCAATGTGTGTGTGTGTGTGTGTGTGGAGTAAAACATTCAACCGTTTTAAGTTGGGTTTGAAAATTATTTATGGAAATTCGAGGAGAAATTTCCAGTTTATAGAAAATTGAAGTCGAACTTCCATAAATAAATCCCAAGAAACTAGAAACTCCCCTTGAATTTCCAGACTCTTGGAAATTATTGATAGACATTCAAACGACGATTTTCTGATCTTCTCTGCGTTAATAACTTTTGCGAAAGATATATAATACACGTGTTTTCTACGTTGTTAAAGTTTCGTTTATTCTGGTCTCTAACAGCTGATTTGACGTTGGAATAAGTTTGAAATTTTTATAGCTAGAACCTATTTTTCATACGTTAAATTTGACAAAAATAAGTCAGAGCTCATACAAGGATGGTATTGTATGTATAATAGGACCAAGAACAGTAGGCTGCTGTAGTCATGTGGCTACTCTGCTCTGGTATCTGTTTCCGGCACCTTACGATACTTTACAACTCAACCTCGTTCAAAAACTGTTCTTGCTTGAACCACCACCGTTAGCACTCCACAAGCTAGAAGTGCATATTTACTCATGTGAGATTCTACTCATGTGTCCATTTCCACTATATCTGTTTCATGAGTCAATTGTTATCTCTGTTCGACCCAAACTTTGTGTAGAAAATAAATCTTTCGTTGAATATACATGCCTAACAAATATCTTTGGAAGACAAAGCATTGGAGCGGCAGAAGTTTCATACCAACCGTCACATGAAAAACAAAAACTTAAACGTTCCTAAATCGTAATTTAACAAAGATGGAAAATGTTCAATCAGAGATAAATTATGAATTACAATTAATTTCATTAACAATGAGTTTAGAGACAGTACTATTCTTTGCTGTCATTTTTTTGTTATATTTACGCAGAGGCACAACAGTTCTTTATCGCTATTTGAAAACAAATGAATTATGAATATATTGTTTTATTTGCCCAAGGTAGACGTGGTTTTATTACATATTTTTGAGAATAATTTCTAGTATTAGTCGGCATTCGATGTGAAGAAGACAGAACAACACACAATATTTTGTTAAATAAACATATTTTTAAATAAATAAACGTTTTTTATTCTCTATTGATGCCAATTACATGAGAAAGTGTGTTATTAATAAAATAAAAAAATGGGTTGTTGTAAAAGTACTCCAGTAACAACAATCACATCTTTAACAAATTTATCACAGTTAGAATTGGCTAAATATCAAGAAATTATTCAATCGGTACCACTAAAATATAGACAATCACTAAGAAATATGCCAGCTGATCAATTACTAACTGGATATAAATATCATGAAATTGCAAGACAGAATTTCAAGATATTTCTATATCCCTTAGCCCTAATTAATGACAGAAAAGCATTGACAATGTTCTTAAAGTATTTGCCAGATAATCATTATATAATTGTTAATATATTAGAAAATATGTCTTGGGCATATTATGAACTTGGTGCAAATAATGCAGCAAAAGAAGTAATAATAATAGTAATACAAATATTGAAAGATAATGGTGATGATGATGAGAATAATAAAAAAATTGCTTCACAATATTTTCAACTTGGTAAAATTTATCAATTAGCAAAAAATTATGATATGGCGATTCTTTCGAAGAAGGAAGCATTGAAATTCGGTCGTTCGATATTTACTCAAGAAACTGTTCATGAAATCGAAGAACAAATTGAAAAACTAACGTATGTAGCTGTTTATATATTGATAAGTGACAGACAGCTGCTAAATAGCCACAAGAAAAGCTTATCAAGCCATCTTCAGTCTTAAAGTGTAGCTCCTCCGAATCAACATTGAACTAGATTCATTATTAGTGCCACTTCGAATCTTTGGAGCAAAATGTCCCTGTGAACACGCCCGTTGGGATGGCGTAAGCGGCCGATAAAAGTTTCTATTTTTGGTTTTTTTCGTCCAACTAACTTTCATTCCTTATTCTTCACCTTTTAAATGGATTTAGGAAAGAAGCTGGTTTTTCGTCTAGTTAACTTAGAATCCACGCTCAACTTATAGGTTTGTTCAAAAGTTGGATGAATGGGCTTAAAAATCTTGTCCAGAGAAGTTCGACAAAGATTTTTAAGCACATTCATCCAACTTTTGAACAAACCTATAAGTTGAGCGTGGATTCTAAGTTAACTAGACGAAAAAAATGAATAAATTAATCGTTTCTTGTCTTCGCAGAGAACTGGCTCATGGTAATTTTATGAGAATAATGTATGAACAGCTAATTGAAATGAATGCTCAAAATGGTACATTACAATTTGATAAAAATGAATTTAAACGTAAAGCAGACAAACAAACGGAAACATTAGTCGATGATCAAATATTGAAAGATGTTTATGATGCATTTGAACATTGGTTAAGAAAATATTTGACATTTAATGGTGACGGTTATATAAACTTCATAGCTGCACAATTTAAAAATACCAACATGAAACAGAGTATGTTGACACCGGCAGTAATTGAAGCTGCATTAACAATAATTATTGATCATTTACAAGATTATCCGAAATTAATTGAATTAAATAAAAAATATCAAATTTCATATACTGATGAGAGCAAGAATTATTCAGTTGGTATTCGAGTATTTCAAGCAGAATCTAAGACTACTAAAGCATGAACATTCTTTTTCTATTCATTCAAGACGGCTTATCCCTCAGAATTGATTTTTTTCCCACACAAATTACTTTGTCAGTGTTCAATGCCTTCTCTTTACTCTACTGAATTGTTGAAAAAGAAAATTTTCTAACATAAAAACGTGAAATAATGATTAAAATAAGGAAATCTATTCTACTGTCATCTTTTATTTCTTATTATTGGTATCTTATTAAAATATGGAGCCAATGTCAGCACTATAGTATCAACAGTATTTGCAACAAAATTAAAACTGAACTTTTTGTTCTAATGCAAAATTCGACTTTTTTTTACTCAGAAAACCTGTAGAAATATCATGTTTATGAAAAAGAATTTAGAACATTGTAGAATGACAAAGCAAAACATTCCAATCAAAATGGCATTTCGTAGCTCTGTATGCTGTTCTGTTCCTGAGATATCAATATTACGAATCATTTTATTATCATTATCTTATCAGTTGTCCAATAGTGACCGAAAATATGACCATTCAAATATAACCATCCAAAATTCATTCCCAACATATTTAATTGATGCAGATTATCTAAACCAGTTATTATGTTAGTCGGACTCTGAAATGTTAGTTTAAATCAATTAGTATTCAGAATAATTAAGCCATTTTAACCAACCGGATAAAATGGCTTAATTGCTGTTTTACATGGTGATTGTTCTAAAAAGGTACATACGAAGGTAAAGGTCATTGTTATTGAATTTAATTAATTCGAGGAAGTATCGAATTTAAGTTCATGAGAAGTGTAGCGAGCGCCACCGTCATTTTATAGTAGTGAAAAAGGCTTGAAACGAAAATTTTCACGTTTCTCTTAATTTCTGATTTTTCTAGCGAGAAGAAATTTAGTTTAAGCAAACTCGAGGATCCGACCTCTCTCTCTCTCTCTCTCTTGGACCTATTCTCAAACGATGTATTAGCGAATTTTATGCCTGTATCTTTTGAGTATTTTCGATAGAAGTGGTCTGGCGTGTTTCACCCTGTCGCCCAATGGGGTCTTCTGTCGATGTCGGAACTGACGTGAGTCATGAATTGGAATTCATAATTTATCTCTGATTGAAGATTTTTCATATTTGCTAAATTAAGATCCAGTTCATACGAGCGATCCTGAAAGCTAATATTTAAACATTAAAAGGTTCCATTCTAGTAAACATAAATGCCTTTAGTACTTTGTTTAAAAAATAAAATAGATTGACTTTCGACTTGAGCTTTAGTAAATGTTGTACTGTAAATTAAATAATCAGGTTGAAGACAATAAACTGAATTGATTTAAATTCAGCAAAATCAAATTGTTCTGTATTGACAGAAGAAACGTTATCAGATAAATTAGCTGAATTAAAAACAATATTTAAACCTTAATCATCAATTATTAATGTACTCTATGCCCACACTAAATAATGATTTATTTTTCCATGGAAATGATTCATTTTACATTCTACTATTTAGAATAAATGTTACTGAGGTAACATATTTATAAATTAAAACATTTCAAACATTTCAATCGATAATTTTTCCACTTGCTTGCCGTAGTTCCAACGGAATTGAATTTGATATTTAGAATCACGAGAAAACCTTAGCCTAGAGTCGTTTTTTTTGGTTTTCACCATTAGAGAGACAAAAGATTGGAGATTCTAAATCATACATTGGTCGTAAATCTGCATATTGTGTGCATAGAAATGTTAGAATGAGAAAAACAACAAAAAAATCGTTTTGTTTATATAATTAGGTGAGAGGTGAGGGTGTAAAAAACCAACGTGGCTTAGCGAGTATTAGCCACTCTTTTTTTCATTTTGTTAACACAAAAATTCAACATTACATCGGTTCATCAACATTTTTCTTCGACTTCGTGCAACAATAGAAACTTTCCATCTTTGGTGACGGGGCTTGTATTCCTCGATTTTGGCACATCTCTACTTACGACTTGGTAAGAATATAAGTAAAACAACATTTCTGGCATATGTGATTGTTGTTTAGGCAGAATATTAGATCAATATGGAGGTGTGACACTTTTTATTTACAAATAGATGATAAAATAATCAGCCAAATATTTGAAACAGAAAGTTCGGTAGGATTTTTTTCTCAGTATATTCTGATGCTATTGAGATTGATGCTCGAAGACTATCGATGATCACGGCTTAAGCGAAGACAGTGAGTATACAACTGCTTTGCTACGCGAAAATCGAGGAATACATGCCCGGCTATTGAAGATGGAAAGTTTTTAAACCATGCTCTTTTTTAGGAACGAATAATGCTGTGCCTACCAGATTTTCTTCCTTTCTTTGCCTTGTCGTTTTCGGGTGCTTCACAGACTACGCGATCCATTGGGCCAAATTCTTCTATAACTCTAAGTTTTTCGAATCTGTAATATTTCCATATCAGTCCTATCTGATAAATGTGTATGATTGTCACGTACTACAACTGACAAATCTGAATAACTTGTTGTTGTAACACGGTACTTCACACACTATACAGTGTGGGAAGAGAGTTGTGTATCTCTACCTTTATACATATTTTTACAAAGGTTATCATGCTGACGATTATTCTAGTTCCCAAATAACTAACTATGTTGAAAGCCGTGATTACTGCTCTACTTTCTTAGCATTTCTCATTATTTAGTCTCTAGAGTTACTGAACATTGCTCGTTCCCAATTAATTTAGCTCATCTCTGCCTTAATGATGAATGTGTTTGTTCCGCTTGGAAATTTATTCGTTGTCGCAATGAATATTCATTTGCTCATTCATTGCTTTTCGTCCAAACAATCAGTGAAAAGTAAATCCCTATATAAGAAAGTGGCTAATTGGGATATGTTTCTATGTAATCAACGGAAAGTAATCCTCTGCAGTAAAAATTATAACGGACAGTAAATCCACGGAAAGTTAGTGTTGAACAACAGACATTTATTCTTCATAAATTAAGTGTGATATTCACAATGCTATTATTTACGTTAGGTGTTCTAAGAAATTGATGATTAGTTTTATTTTTGCCCATCGGGACTGTCAGGATGCCCACCCTAAAGACAACAACAAAAAAGAAGGAAAAATAGAAAATGATATCGTGAAGGTATGTGAATTAGAAAAGTTACATGAGATAAATGAATAACATAAACTGAGGTAAACAATAGTGCGAAGATAAAAAAACTGGTTTGCAGACCAAAAACATAGTCACAATACGTTTGCAAAACCGAATTAGGAAATTTTATAAAGGTTTTGAGCTCGTCTTCTCCAACCTATAGTATCAAATTTTCTACATTATTGAAAAACCAGGAAACACACTTCCGGAAAACTGATAAAGTAGGGACAATTCGTTTCGATCTGCGTAAGTTGTTTACTGCATAAGCTTTATTTACCCACTACTCTCTAAATATATTTAGCACATAGGCTTCGTCAATAGAATTCGCAAATGAACATAAAAACTTGTTCCAATACTGGAAACTAGAAAGACCGTTCCTCATACATAATGAAGAAGCCTATATTGTTCCGATAGAAAACTCTATATACCCGACGTAAACATGAATAAAAAATAATGTGTCAGCTCAACTTGTTGACACTGCGTTATAAGCGGAAAGATGACAAAAAGCCAAGTGAACAGGGGAACACATATGTAAAAAATAGCATTCGTTTGAAATCGATACTAAAAGTGCCATTGAATCTACATGAGCTCACTAATCTTAACTATCCTGTTTATTAAGCTACAACAAACTTGACTAAGCGAGCAGATCGAGGTCTATGGTGCAGAATCAACTAAACAATTTAACGAAGAACTAAGACAAATACATATATAGATTCTACTTGTGATTGAAATAACTAACTATAGCTACTCTTTGTCTGATATTTGTTTTGTATCGTATCATCGCTTTATCCCAACCTAGCCTCGATCCTATCCAATACCCTAGGTATTTGGAATATGAGACCTACTCTATTTTATGTTCCCCACCGTACATATCGAACTTTGGTCTTCTGAAGCGCGAGCTGTCCACATGGCCTTGGTTTTTTTTTTAGTTGGTTGGTTGTACAGCTAGGATGGAATAAAATTCCAGCCACTCAAAGAATTTCTTTAATCGAATCTCTAAATCCAAACACTGACGCGAGAACTTGGCATCAATCATACCTGCCAATACACTTGCCAGATCGTCTGCAAAAAAGTTTGGAATAGAGCATTCTAGAAAGGTCCAGATATCTGAATGATACATGATAAAAGGCAAGGTGTGAAGGAAGAACCCAAGGACCCTCCACGCTTAGTTAGAAATGAACGGGACCTCTTTCCTTCTTTCTCAATGAAACCACTTCTACCACTAACGAGGGAACCTTCCAAAGTGATCAAACGCTTTTTCCTCGGAATCTAGTGAGTTATAGGTTATCGACCATCCTGATTACGAATATGACCATGGGGGTTACCATTAGCCCTTCGAAGGCCTGGTTTTCTAGAAAAACAGTTTTCAGAAACTCTAAAAGATAAACCTTTCTTAATGAGGCATGATTGTAACCCGCAAATTTTTGATTAAAATGAGACATCTCCCAGCTTTACACGACCTTTCTTTGCAAAGTTATAGAGTTTACAAGAAAAGCCCTAAATTAATTTCTTCTTATTTCTGTAGCTTTGAGTTGACAATGAACATTTAGGACGTTTCTTGTAAATTCTATAACTTTGCAAAGAAAGGTTGTGTAAAGTTGAGATATATCTCTTTTTAATCAGAAATTTGTAGACTACAATCATGCCTCATTAAGAAAGGTTCGGGTTATATTTTAGAGTTTCTGAAAAACTGGTTTTCTAGAAAACCAGACCTTCGAAGGGTGCAGCCCCATGATCATATTCGTAATCAGGATGGTCGATAACCTATAACTCACTAGATTCCGAGCAAAATGCGTTTAATCACCTCGAAAGGTTCCCTCGTATATCACGTTTCAATCCACTGGACAAAAGCTGTAGGAATATCCAAACGCTTCAATTTGCCAAGACAACTTTACTCATTCAGATAAAAATT